CTACTGTACCAATGCCCTGAGTATTATAGTGTTACATGAACACTGTACTGTACCAACATCCTGAGTATTATAGTTTTACATGAACACTACTGTACCAACGCCCTGAGTATTATAGTGTTACATGAACACTACTGTACCAACATCCTAAGTATTATAGTGTTACATGAACACTACTGTACCAATATCCTGAGTATTTTAGTGTTACATGAACACTGTACTGTACCAACATCCTGAGTATTATAGTGTTACATGAACACTACTGTACCAACATCCTGAGTATTATAGTGTTACATGAACACTACTGTACCAACATCCTGAGTATTATAGTGTTACATGAACACTACTGTACCAACATCCTGAGTATTATAGTGTTACATGAACAATACTGTACCAACATCCTGAGTATTATAGTGTTACATGAACACTACTGTACCAACACCCTGAGTATTATAGTGTTACATGAACACTGTACTGTACCAACACCCTGAGTATTATAGTGTTACATGAACACTACTGTACCAACACCCTGAGTATTATAGTGTTACATGAACACTACTGTACCAACATCCTGAGTATTATAGTGTTACATGAACACTGTACTGTACCAACATCCTGAGTATTATAGTGTTACATGAACACTACTGTACCAACGCCCTGAGTATTATAGTGTTATATGAACACTGTACTGTACCAACATCCTGAGTATTATAGTGTTAAATGAACACTACTGTACCAACATCCTGAGTATTATAGTGTTACATGAACACTACTGTACCAACATCCTGAGTATTATAGTGTTACATGAACACTACTGTACCAACATCCTGAGTATTATAGTGTTACATGAACACTACTGTACCAACATCCTGAGTATTATAGAACACTACTGTTATCCTGAGTGAACACTACTGTACCAACATCCTGCCAACTGTGCCAACACCCTGAGTATTATAGTGTTACATGAACACTACTGTACCAACGCCCTGAGTATTATAGTGTTACATGAACACTGTACTGTACCAACATCCTGAGTATTATAGTGTTACATTAACACTACTGTACCAACACCCTGAGTATTATAGTGTTACATGAACACTACTGTACCAACACCCTGAGTATTATAGTGTTACATGAACACTACTGTACCAACATCCTGAGTATCATAGTGTTACATGAACACTGTACTGTACCAACATCCTGGGTATTATAGTGTTACATGAACACTACTGTACCAACATCCTGGGTATTATAGTGTTACATGAACACTACTGTACCAACATCCTGAGTATTATAGTGTTACATGAACACTACTGTACCAACATCTTGAGTATTATAGTGTTACATGAACACTGTACTGTACCAACATCCTGAGTATTATAGTGTTACATGAACACTACTGTACCAACATCTTGAGTATTATAGTGTTACATGAACACTACTGTACCAACATCCTGAGTATTATAGTGTTACATGAACACTACTGTACCAACGCCCTGAGTATTATAGTGTTACATGAACACTGTACTGTGCCAACATCCTGAGTATTATAGTGTTAAATGAGCACTACTGTACCAACACCCTGAGTATTATAGTGTTACATGAACACTACTGTACCAACATCCTGAGTATTATAGTGTTACATGAACACTGTACTGTACCAACATCCTGCGTATTATAGTGTTACATGAACACTACTGTACCAACACCCTGAGTATTATAGTGTTACATGAACACTACTGTACCAACATGCTGAGTATTATTATGTTACATGAACACTGTACTGTACCAACATCCTGAGTATTATAGTGTTACATGAACACTACTGTACCAACACCCTGCGTATTATTATGTTACATGAACACTACTGTACCAACACCCTGAGTATTATTATGTTACATGAACACTACTGTACCAACATCCTGAGTATTATAGTGTTACATGAACACTGTACTGTACCAACACTTATATTATATAGTGTTACATGAACACTACTAAAATTAATGCCCTGAGTATTATAGTGTTACATGAACACTGTACTGTACCAACATCCTGAGTATTATAGTGTTACATGAACACTACTGTACCAACGCCCTGAGTATTATAGTGTTACATGAACACTACTGTACCAACATCCTAAGTATTATAGTGTTACATGAACACTACTGTACCAATATCCTGAGTATTATAGTGTTACATGAACACTGTACTGTACCAACATCCTGAGTATTATAGTGTTACATGAACGCTACTGTACCAACATCCTAAGTATTATAGTGTTACATGAACACTACTGTACCAATATCCTGAGTATTATAGTGTTACATGAACACTGTACTGTACCAACATCCTGAGTATTATAGTGTTACATGAACACTACTGTACCAACATGCTGAGTATTATAGTGTTACATGAACACTACTGTACCAACATCCTGGGTATTATAGTGTTACATGAACACTGTACTGTACCAACATCCTGAGTATTATAGTGTTACATGAACACTACTGTACCAACACCCTGAGTATTATTATGTTACATGAACACTACTTTACCAACACCCTGAGTATTATAGTGTTACATGAACACTGTACTGTACCAACATCCTGAGTATTATAGTGTTACATGAACACTACTGTACCAACACCCTGAGTATTATTATGTTACATGAACACTACTGTACCAACACCCTGAGTATTATTATGTTACATGAACACTACTGTACCAACATCCTGAGTATTATAGTGTTACATGAACACTGTACTGTACCAACACCCTGAGTATTATAGTGTTACATGAACACTACTGTACCAATGCCCTGAGTATTATAGTGTTACATGAACACTGTACTGTACCAACATCCTGAGTATTATAGTGTTACATGAACACTACTGTACCAATGCCCTGAGTATTATAGTGTTACATGAACACTACTGTACCAACATCCTAAGTATTATAGTGTTACATGAACACTACTGTACCAATATCCTGAGTATTATAGTGTTACATGAACACTGTACTGTACCAACATCCTGAGTATTATAGTGTTACATGAACACTACTGTACCAACACCCTGAGTATTATAGTGTTACATGAACACTACTGTACCAACATCCTAAGTATTATAGTGTTACATGAACACTACTGTACCAATATCCTGAGTATTATAGTGTTACATGAACACTACTGTACCAACATCCTGAGTATTATAGTGTTACATGAACACTACTGTACCAACATCCTGAGTATTATAGTGTTACATGAACACTACTGTACCAACACCCTGAGTATTATAGTGTTACATGAACACTACTGTACCAACACCCTGAGTATTATAGTGTTACATGAACACTGTACTGTACCAACATCCAGAGTATTATAGTGTTACATGAACACTACTGTACCAACATCCTGAGTATTATAGTGTTACATGAACACTGTACTGTACCAACATCCTGGGTATTATAGTGTTACATGAACACTGTACTGTACCAACATCCTGAGTATTATAGTGTTACATGAACACTACTGTACCAACATCCTGAGTGTTATAGTGTTACATGAACACTACTGTACCAACATCCTGAGTATTATAGTGTTACATGAACACTACTGTACCAACGCCCTGAGTATTATAGTGCTACATGAACACTGTACTGTACCAACATCCTGAGTATTATAGTGTTACATGAACACTACTGTACCAACATCCTGAGTATTATAGTGTTACATGAACACTACTGTACCAACATCCTGAGTATTTTAGTGTTACGTGAACACTACTGTACCAACATCCTGAGTATTATGGTGTTACATGAACACTGTACTGTACCAACATCCTGGGTATTATAGTGTTACATGAACACTGTACTGTACCAACACCCTGAGTATTATAGTGTTATATGAACACTGCTGTACCAACATCCTGAGTATTATAGTGTTACATGAACACTACTGTAACCACATCCTGAGTATTATAGTGTTACATGAACACTACTGTACCAACACCCTGAGTATTATAGTGTTATATGAACACTGCTGTACCAACATCCTGAGTATTAGTGTTACATGAACACTACTGTACCAACATCCTGAGTAATATAGTGTTACATGAACATTACTGTACCAACACCCTGAGTATTATAGTGTTACATGAACACTACTGTACCAACATCCTGAGTATTATAGTGTTATATGAACACTGCTGTACCAACATCCTGAGTATTATAGTGTTACATGAACACTACTGTAACCACATCCTGAGTATTATAGTGTTACATGAACACTACTGTACCAACACCCTGAGTATTATAGTGTTATATGAACACTGCTGTACCAACATCCTGAGTATTAGTGTTACATGAACACTACTGTAACCACATCCTGAGTATTATAGTGTTATATGAACACTACTGTACCAACATCCTGAGTAATATAGTGTTACATGAACATTACTGTACCAACACCCTGAGTATTATAGTGTTACATGAACACTACTGTACCAAAATCCTGAGTATTATAGTGTTGCATGAACACTGTACTGTACCAACATCCTGGGTATTATAGTGTTACATGAACACTACTGTACCAACGTGCTGAGTATTGTAGTGTTACATGAACTCTACTGTACCAACATCCTGGGTATTATAGTGTTACATGAACACTGTACTGTACCAACATCCTGAGTATTATAGTGTTACATGAACACTACTGTACCAACATCTTGAGTATTATAGTGTTACATGAACACTGTACTGTACCAACACCCTGAGTATTAAAGTGTTACATGAACACTGTACTGTACCAACATCCTGAGTATTATAGTGTTACATGAACACTACTGTACCAACACCCTGAGTATTTTAGTGTTACATGAACACTGTACTGTACCAACACCCTGAGTATTTTAGTGTTACATGAACACTGTACTGTAGTCTTAATCTTAAGTAAATTTGTAACTATGTAATCAGTGATTTTGATAATTGTCTAATAATAAATTTTTCCGCAGATAGCAATTCACTTTGGTTTGCTACATCAAGGATATACTCAAGGAAATAGATTTCCTTTTGTAGATGAGATGCGAAGAGTCAAAGAGACCGAAGAAGCTATTTGTTATAGTCCTGATGTCTCCAAGTTTACTGGAGGTTAGTGTAAGGGGAGGTGGCAAATATGAGTCACACAGAGGACTTTTACATGTCTCCCATAGGAAAATGGTACAGTGGTCCCTCGGTTAACGAGCACAATCCGTTCCAGCAGGTTGCTCGTTAACCGAAAAACTCATTAACCGAAACCATTGTTTCAATGGGTTTTTGGGTAATTGGTTCCAGCTCACCGAGAATTGCCTAAATTCAACAAAAAAGGTAGGAAAGTACACTTACTTTGAGGTGTGTATGTAGAAGGCTCCTGGATGATGATGATGATGATGGGAATTAGAATGGGGGTGGAGGAGAAGGAAGAAGAGAAGGCATTGGGGTGGAAGAGAAGTCACCCTGTGGTGCCATTTCACCCATAAAACTTTAGCTCTCTTGGTGTAATTCAAGATTATTTTCTTTAAATCAACACTGCACTGCATTATATATTGTCAATATGTAAAATATATTTCAAAATGACCAATAATTTGCTTGGAAACACAGAAAAAAAGCGTTTAGTTGAAGAAAGTCTCAAGCAAGATGTTACCTCCACTGAAAACAGAGAGAGACTAACGCCTGTCTGGTGTGTTAACAGGCAGGATGGCACCCGAGAAACTAGTTTCTTTATCTTCAGTTATGTTCAATAATTGTTAAAATGACTAAAAAAGTTGATATTAAACTTTTAAAATTATTGAATAGTATAAACTTCTTGGTATTTACTAAAATACTGAGGAATTTAAGCCCTAAAACCGATTACTGTATTGGTGGACTAATACTACAGCTGGTGGACCGCCAAATGCAAGCGAAAACATGTTGAAGTCGGATCGTAAAAAACTCGTTAATCAAGGGATTGCTCGTTAACCGAAGTTAAGAATCTTATGGAAGGTAAATCGTTAACCGAAATCTCGTTAACCGAGGCGCTCGTTAACCGAAGGACCACTGTGTTTCTTTCCCTATTAGTGTGCCAGGCTCACAGTTTATATTAAAGTAAATTAGGTCATAGACAAGGCTGACAATTATTGGCAGCTACAACATTGATAATTCACTTTTTATACTCATACAACTCTTATTCCAGCAATTAAAAAAAAAATCCTTTTTTTTTTCTAAAAAACAGGTTTGTGATAGTCCAGAATGTGACGTCTAGCTTTATACAGTGGTCCCACGGTTAACGAATGGTTCGATTAACGAAATTTCCGTTACGAATTACCTCCCATAAGGATCTTCAATTCGGTTAACGAACAAAACTTCGATTAACGAAATCCTTATAAACAACACGTTTTGTTGTGAGCATCAGCTGATGAGCTGATGGGTTAGTCTGCCAAATTCAGTAATCAGTTCTATGTTTACATTCGTTTCCAGTGGAGCAAATATGAAGAAAGTTGTGCACCTTAATATTTTTTAAATTATTGGTTATTCTGAAATTTAGTTAACATATTGATAATATATAGCGCAGTGCAGTGTTGATTTAAATAAAATAATCTTGAATTACGCATAGTGAACTTAAAATTTTATTGGTGAATGACTGCATCAAGCATAGGTCCCCTGAAAGGTGATTTCTCCTCCATCCCCACTTACTTCTGTTCTCCCTTCTCCACCCCCTCTTCTAATTCCCATCATCACACACCTCAAAGTAAGTGTACTTTACTGCATTTTTTCTTTTTTTTTTTTACTTTGTATGTACTTTTTTGTGAGCTGGAACCAATTACCCAATATCCCATTGAAACAATGGATTCGGTTAACAAAATTTTCGGTTAACGAACAACTGTGGAACGAATTGTGTTCGTTAACCGAGGAACCACTGTACCTAGGTATGTAAATGCCTAGCATTAATTGGCCAGGCCAACATACAGGCAATTAAAACATCTAATAATTACTTAAATACGTAATATTAGGAGGACACGTCGCTACCTAGCATTTAATTGCAATATTTAACCCCTCCCGCACCCTCCGTCACATGCATCACTACCTTCATCTCTTGCCCTAGAGCGAGCAGTAAGCAAATGTCAACTCTCGAGGGGTGGAGGTGGGTGGGATGTCGACGTCACATTTTGGACTGTATCACAAACTGGTTTTTAGAAAAAAATAATGGTTTTTGTTCAATCCAGAATGCGACGTCTAGCTTTGATTACCCGAGCAGGAGGTGGAGAAGGAGGTGATGTTGCGTATAAGGCTCCGCTAGCTTAGGTCCAGATTATGATTATAAACCGTTTGGAATATTTTCCAAGACAGCGCCTCACCGACTTACGACCTACTCGACTTACGACCACCCGCACTTACGACCTGCCTCAGTCGTACCAAAATTTTGTCAAAATCCGCATTTTCGAGTCCCAACGTCAGTACACACAAAATTTTTGTTTGTAATTCACTTTAAAATGGCTGGCAAACTTAAAAGTGAGTGTTTTGTGGTGCTGAGAAGAATAAGAGACCAACATTTTAGATTTTTTATGTATTATTTAAGCATTTCCGACTTACGACCATTTCGACTTAAGACCTGGATGTCGGTCCCTAACCCCGTCGTAAGTCGGGGAGTAGCTGTAGACGCAGTGGTTTAACTTGCAGTATTTTTACCCTGACAAGTTTATAGAGCGTCTGTTGTCATTACTACAGATGAGGAGATAACTTACTGGAGTCATGAGGCCGTCAACCACCTCCTTGATCTGTATCTTCAGTATCAAGCAGCTGCATCATCTTCTCATGGATGTAAAGAGGAAGTCTTCATCAAGGTTAAAGACAAAATGCAAGAGCTAGGATATGGGTAAGTGTATAGTTCAGCACAGCACACTATAGTACAGCACAGCACACTATAGTACAGCACAGCACACTATAGTACAGCACAGCACACTATAGTAGAGTATAGTACAGCACAGCACACTATAGTACAGCACAGTACAGCACAGCACACTATAGTACAGTATAGTTCAGCACAGTACACTATAGTACAGCACAGTACAGCACAGCACACTATAGTACAGTATAGTACAGCACACTATAGTACAGTATAGTACAGCACAGTACAGCATACTTGTTGGGTTGTACCAATATAAAGTCAGGGCTGCAGTAACACCACTTTATTTGAAGTAGGTTTCATCATACAATAAACAAACATACAAACACAAATATAAATATACATAATCCAGAAATATTTAACAAGAACCTTATAATCTTTAATGTAAGCTATACTGTTAATGATCCAATCAAAAAGATAATGTTAACTCAAACTCACATCATAACCTCCCAAATCAGCACCAACCCAATACAAAGTTCTGCAGTCCGTCCAGCCAGCGACCACAAGGGACAAGTCGCCCACATACACTGAAAATAATACTTTACTCCTATAAATTTGCTTTATACAATTATGATGTCTATTTCTTATAACTCTTTCTTCCAAAGAATATCCAAACATTAATCAATATACGTATACTAAATAGCCCAAACTAACTTACATGTACAGAATATTAAAACTTCTTGTCCAGATACGTACGTTACGGCAGCCACCACAACAACAATGTCGCCTGTGTCTGTAGCGACAAATTCCTGCCTACTTGCACAACAATAATTTTTATACAAAATATTTTATTACAATAAATTTTTAAATCCACAATATTTATACAATACCTAACAAATGTATATTTTTACACATCACATATCTCATCAGACCCTGTATGATGATAAATTACTATAATACAGTACAGTATAGTATAGTACAGTACAGTATAGTATAGTACAGTACAGTACAGTACAGTACAGTATAGTACAGTACAGTATAGCACAGTATAGTACAGTACAGTTTAGTGCAGTACAGTACAGTACTGGACAGCACGGTACAGCACGGCACAGTACAGTACAGCACAGTATGGCACAGTACAGCACGGGACAGTACAGCACAGCTCAGTATAGCACAGCACGGCACAGTACAGCATGGCACAGCACAGTACAGCACAGTACAGTACTGGGGCCGCATACTCAAAAGCATTTACGGGACTGTACAGTATCTCTTTGTTTACCCCATAACTGGACTTACAGTCTCCGATCGGTATACTCAAAACAAATATTTGGCAGTGGACTCAGTAAGGGAGCCTGTATTCGAGGCCGTAGCTTACAGGATCTCCTTAGGTGCTGTAACATGATCAATCCAGATATAGTAAGTCACTATTTCCCGGGCACTTTGGGGCCTGGGGGGCGATAATGTAATAATAATGATAATAATAATAATAATAATAATAATAATAATAATAATAATAATAATACAGTATAGTCTCGATTTACGCTGATTTGGTTTACGCGTTTGGTCATTTAAGCGGCAGTTGTCAGACCGACAATTTTTATTTACGCAGTTCATTTCATCATTTACGTGGAAAGCGGCGCGGGCAGGGTGCGCACAAGGTCACCCAGTCAACAAAACATTACCGAGTTCTTCACCCGCCACCCACCACAGCCAGCCCAAGTCAGTGACAGTGAGGATATGGACTTGAGGGGTTTGACAAAGAGGCTCTGCAAGCCTCTGTGGTGGATAGTGATACAGGTGAGGGCCAATAATCTGCCCTCTACCGCAGAAGCAACCCCAATCCCCGTGTACCCAGTCATCTCTTCTACTAAGTTAGTGTTAAAAAACCTAATATTATTGATATTTCTCTTAAATATTAATTGTGTGTGCATACCATCATAAAATTAAGATGTTTTTGTTCAATCCAGAATGCGACGCTTAGCTTAGCTTTTAACCTAGGTATGTTAATGCCTAGCAATAACTCGCCAGGCCAACACACAGGCAATTAAAACATCGAATAATTACTTAATAAGTAATATTAGGAGGACACGTCGCTACTTGGCATTTAATTGCAATTGTCGAAACCCCCTCCTTCACCCCCCATCGCACGCATTGCCACCTTCATCTCTTGCCTGGCGATTCAGCTATAAATACACACGATGGAAAGCTCCGCGAATTTGTGTTGTAATTGCTGAAATACTAAGCCCCGCGAGGATTTTATATACGGTATTTGTACTTATTAGCACAGTGATGAAGTAGAGTGACTTTTATTTTGTTATGTCTCTCAGTTATTGTATTTGGGACAATTGCTTATACGATCTCTGGTCAGTCACGGCGACAACAACATGTCTTCTTTGTGAAGTCGTTTAGATCGTTGTGACTATCCCTTGCCTTTAAGTCACTCGGTGAATGTCGCTGCGCCCTCCCGGGCTCGTCTTCACTAAAAGAGAATATGTGAATATATCTATTTATATATACATATATATGTATACTGTTTACGGTTTTCTTTGTCCCAATTAGTCACGTGTCTCTCTCCCTACTCTTGTTCGTTCACAAAAAACCTTTGGGCTTCCCCCCTCGGTTTTCTAATTGCTCTCAGCATAAAGACCAAATTTGAGTTTTTCTCTTCATAACTTTATTTTTGATGTCCTCAGTAGCGGGTTCAGCCTCTCCAGGCGAACTTTAGCGAGGCTGCTAGACTTAGCGTTCCTTCCGGAATGTTGACCCTCCGGTCTTCCTAGCAATCTAGAGTTATGTTGAAATGGACTTTACATCCTTATATGGGTTATATGAGACCAATTCAGGGTGGATTTCTTAACCCAATAAGTATTGCTAGAGTAATAGTGAACGTTGTTGCCAATAGAGCGCTATGTTAGCGACTCAGCACTGTCAACCCTGCCGGGTGATAGTGGCACGTAGACATTTTCGCTTAAGTTATTACTTGGGGGATAATGCCTGTGCCCCTGATTGGCAACAAATAAAGATCTTGATGATCCCTCTAAATAAAATGTTCTAAATGAAATTATTTTATGTAAAAAAAAAAAAAATTCATTGAGCTAAGGGATACTTGAGATAAGAGTCGGGAGAGAGATATGACATAGCGAGTTAATTGTTTAAAATTGTCAAATGAATGACTTATATAACAATAAGAGATCTTAATGAATTAACTTACTAATAATATAACAATTATGAGTCATATTGATTAAGTTTGCGAGAAAATGCTTTCTCCCTTATATTTTTATAATGATATAATGTGACTCATGGTGTCCTCCTAGATTAAATGAGTGATGTGCAACTGGAGGATGAAGGACAAGAGTCCGGGCCTATGGATGATGGAGGAGACTATGGAACTGTCCCTGAGGAGATACTATTGAGTGATGAGCTACAAGGACTAGAAAGTTCAGCTCAGGCACTACATACAAGGAATTGTCTGTCAGTAGAGAATTTGAATTCAGTAGTAGTAGTTTCACCCAAGACCCAAGGGGGCCATACTACATGTAATTATCAAGGATGTAGAGCCACTTGGATTACTAAGATAGATCCTCATGTGGCTTGCATAGTTCATGGCAGCTGTGTCTCAAATAACCTATTTTCACCAATGGATTGTGCAGTTTGTTATGATCAAATTTTTCAATTTCATCAAGCTACAGGTGATAAGAAAGATTTATTGCAGGTCCAAATTAAATATAGGTGGAATAAGGCCTTGAAGAGTAAATTTTTAAACGTAAAACAATGGAAAGATCCCAAGTTAGCAGAAAGTCTAGGTTAAGTAAGAGACTTAATCCCCACTTAGAAAAGCCTTCTGTTAAAAAAAAAAAAAAAAAAAGAAGAAAGTTGGACCCCCCAGACAATGGGGCAGTAGGAAGTCTACAAAACCTCTATCTACTCAGTCTGATTTCAGTGGATTCCAGGATCAGGACAAAAGGCTGGTTCTAATCATAGCATTCAGTCTCTTGAGCAGGAAGAACCTGTTGAGACTGACTTCATCCTATCCACATCTTGGCAACCACTTCCACCTGGGGCAAAAATGTTGGTTGTTATGAGTGGAAACTGGCTGCTCTCGACTGCCACGCAGCTGCTGGATAACATTGAGTGTAAGGATGATCCCAACAGGCCTTGGGTAACATTGGTAAGATCTAAGTCTTCTTTGTTTTCTACCACATCTGAGTCTGTGGATTCCTTATTCAAGGTATTTTACGAAAATGTTTCTAAACTTCCTGATCTCTCAGCACTTACAAAGAGACAGGAAGGACAAGCAACTGTGGGTCATCATTCATTGTTTTTGGAAGGTGATACTACACTTTCTTAGCCTAATATTTGCCCAAAGATGATCTCTGAAATATATGAAGTCTGGGCTAATGTATTGAAAGACTTAACATTCATTCCCACAATTATGATGTGTCAGTTATTAACTAAGTTTGTGCTGGACTATGAAGAAAATTCAGAAGTGGATAAATGTTTCTCTGCTGCTTTACAAGGGATCCCATATTCCCTATACAACTCATTTTTGATATGTTGTTGAAAGCCCTAAACCTGAAAGTCCAGCTAAGGAAACAAGCAACAAATAATGCTTCAAGTGGTAGTGCTTATTTATTGCTACGTTCTTCCCCTTTTCTCCTGCTTTGTTTGATGGACAATCATTGGTTAAATATAGATCAGCTGTTGAGCAAGCTATTAATATTACTGTCCCCAGGAGTCATCAGACCTTTTGGAAATCTAAAAGAGGAAGGTTTTACAGGGGAACAGGACCAGCTGCTCGTTTCAGTTATAAACCCAGATAAAACTTTAGAGTAGGAAATAATCAAAGACGTAATAGGGGTGACCTTTTGTTCAGAAGCGGAAGGAGACCTTATTCCACCACATCAGCATCCATTCCCTTCCAATGAAGCCAGACAGCTGGGTTGTCTAGGGGGTTGGGAAAACAGATGGACTTCTTCCTTATGGGCATACAAGACACTTAAAGGGGGTCTCACATGGACTTGGTTGAGGCG